GAATGGTTACTACCTCACAAGAGGATGAGTCTTTGTTTCAAACTGCACACCAGTTGGAGAAGACAGACTGGTCTTTATGGGATAAAGGCACCTTGTAGATGGCACTCTGACCTCCGCTATAGGGTTGGCTACCTTCACAGGGAGCTGCAAAGGTTCCTGTCCAGGGGCCACAAATGTAGACTCTACATCTCGGGTTGGGGATGCCACAAGTAACCCCTCGCTTGCGAGAGGAGGTCTTTGCTCAGTAGAATCGACCAGGGAGCTGTCGATGACAGCTGAATCAGATTGGGGAACCACGTCTGGTTTCACCAGAGTGGAGCCACCAGTAGAATTGAGTATCTGATCCATCTGATGATCTGAGAGAGCAGAGTGACCGCGGTAAAGGCATACAGGCGGGCCTTGGGCCATTCCTAGGCCAGCGTGTTCTGTTCCTTGGAGAAAAATGTTGGGCAATAAGAGTTTTAAGATAATTCTTCTGAAGAATCTCCTTTCTCCTGGAGACATACTGACCTGGGACAGCATGTCCAATCCCTGGTTCAGTCTGCCTGGAACGTGCACTGCCCTCAAAGAGCCCAGGTTACACTGGGCCCATAGAAGGTGGTGTCTCACCATCTTATAAAAAAACACAACCTAAAGCCGCCCTGGCAATTTATAAAGGCAACCACTGTCATGTTGTCCAAATGGACAATGACATGGTGCCCTTTTAGAGCTGGCAGGAAGGTTTTAAGGGCCCAGAAAACTGGCATCATTTCGAGACAGTTGATGTGTAGCCTTTGCTTTAGGCTGGACCAGGAGCCACGCCCCCTTGCCCCCCAGCCTGAGTGGGAGGCATCTGTCATAACAACATTCCTTCTGGAAGTCAGTCCCAATTGCACACCTGTCTGATACAGGCGAGGGGCCTTATAAGGGGCCACAGCTGAGACATATCGATGGTCCACCTTGAGGCAAAAGTGTCCCAGGCACTAGGCGTGGGATTACTGCAGGGGCGCAGTACTGCAGGGGCCACATGTGGAGTAGGCCCAGCAGTATCACAGGGGATGCCATCAGGCCCAGGGTCCTCTGTGAGCATTCCAGTGAGAGCCATGCCCGCATCTGGGTTGAGTCGATAACGGTCCCCAAAAAAGCCACTTGCCTGCTGGGAGACAGACAACTCTTGATTCTGAGCCCCAAAAGCTCCAGGTGGGTGAGAGGCATCGACCTGTGAGCACAGAGCTTGCGTTCAGACCAGGCTAAAACTAACCAGTCATCGAGGTAATTCATAACGTGGATTCCAGTTTGCCTCAGATGGGAGAGAGTCATGCCAAGTGCATGGAGCCAGGGACAGTCTCTTCAAGAGGAGAGAGCTTCTCATTAGGGCTGGGACAATAAATCGATGCATCGCAAATCGAGAAATTATTCTGCATCGATTCTTAGATTTTCCGAAGGCATCGCGATTCTCTCTTGAATCGATTCTGAGCTTAGTTTTTAACAGCAGATGGCACTGGGTGCTTTAGAAATAGCCGTATTCTGCTTGCTTCCAGTTCCTTACACACGCACCATTTGAACCTAAAATAACCATTCATAAAGTTTGAAAAGGTTGAAGCGAATTACAAGGATGTTCACAGTGGGCTGTGTTTACATTAATCTCGCATCATAAAAGCCCATGTGCAAGTACATTTAAACACTTACATGACTCAGCCGAACGCGCAAGCGCTCTTCTTCGTGACAATTTGAGTGTGCGGTTAAAAACTAGCCTAGAGCGCCATCTGCTGTTAAAAACTAAGCTCAGAATCGATTCGAGAGAGAATCACGATG